TTGTGGGACTCGGCGAGTCTCGTGGTGACTCGACGAGTTGAGTCGCGATATGGGGAAGTTCTGATTATGGGAACTCGACGAGTCACAGGGTTGACTCGGCGAGTAGAGTCAGTCAAGGGTTGACCTAGACTGAGGACTTTGATTTCGACCAAGGGTTGGCCGTTGAGTTTTAGGGTTTGGACAGCGATGTGGCCTTTGGGCCAAGAGAGAGGTAAAATAGTCTTTTACCCATAAGAGGGTGTTATGAGAGGATTTATTCTAGCCTCGAGAGTTATATTCATGAGAGTATTTGCCTTACGTGTTAGGCGGTGGCGAGTTCGAGATTCAAGTGTGGGGATATCTGCTTTCTGCTTGCCAGGTGAGTCTTCTCACTATACTTTACCTTGAGTAGGTAACCAGAGTTATGTGATTAGAGTATTTGTATGCTATATGTACGTGATGTGTTGTACTGCATTATTTCTATGTGATTTATGTTGTGCATGTTTATAGAGTTGGAACCGGAAGGTTCCCAGAGTTAGAACCTGAGGGTTCAAAGAGTTTGGGTGCACGGACCCATAGAGTTATAGCCTCGAGTGGCTAATATGTGTTATGTGTGGTATATTGGGGAACTCACTAAGCTTCGTGCTTACAGTGTTTTGTTTGATGTTTTTCAGGTTTCTTTCAGTATCACGGGACGGCACCGGCTTGATTGTACACACCAGAGAAAGAGTCATATTTTGGAGGATCCTGGTTTTCTATGCAAGTGAAAATGGAGTTATGTTTTGTAAATTGACTATGAATAAGATTTTAAACAAGTGTTTCTAAGAGTAAAATGACTATTTTAAATAAAAAAATTTGTCTTGAAATTTACGGTGTTACACATATGTTCAAATAAGGGTTAGAAACCCTAGAAATCTCGACTCAAGTTCTTTATGGACTAGGATTCTCTTAGTGGGTCTAATGGACCAATAAACTTTCAAATTGACTATTTGGGCTCTAATTGGACCCACAATCATGAAACTAGATTTTTTTGGGCCATGTGGGCCTAAAATAATTCATTTTCATCTCTAATAGGCTTTGTTGGGCCATAATGTCCATTTCGTTATACAACTTGAGCCACGAACTACCTTAAAGGCCCAATGGACCGAAAAGTATTCTTAAACTTCATAAAAATCAAGCAAATCCAAGATTGAGCCCAAACCACTTCAACTCCTTCCTCCTAGCCCAAATTCTTGGCCCAAGGTGTTTACTAGACAAAAGAAAAAAATGGGAAATTATGAGCAAGTGCCACCTCAATATTGCATGGTGGTCACCCATGCACCAAAACCCCACATATAACAAGGTGATATCTCATATAACTAGGAAATCCTTCTCTCTCCCTCTCCCCTCTTCAAAACTCACGGCCATAAGGCCTCCTCACCATTATTCTTACTTTCTAAAACTCTCACAATAAGTCTCTTAAGAACTCTCCTACATTTCCTCTCAAATTTCTTGAGTTTTGGTGTAGTTTCAAGAGGATCTTCACCTAGATCATCATCTTTGGTAAGTTTTGCTTAGATACATGGTTTAGCTTCTTAATCTCTTCAAAAATCACTCCTATTACACCATATTTTCGTGGATCATGTCTCTTAGATCCATCTTGAATTCGAAAACTCCTATCAAAAAGCAAGCTAGGCCGAATTCTCCTTCCATCTTCTCACTAAAACCGAACCAAACCCCAAGGTGAGTTCATACCCCCTTTTTTTGTTTTTACTTGTTTTTGGGGGAGAATACAAGTTTATTTGTGTAGATCTATGTGTATATGCATGATTATGTGTGATTTCCTTGAAACATTTGGTGATTATGTGTGATTTCTTCACTAATCTACAAATATGTTCAGAAGCTTGAAGTGTATCACTTGGATCTTTACATGAATCTTGAGATAAGTATGTTTTATCAAACATAATACATGTAAACTAGTATATACTGGATTTATACACTTGATATAGCAAAAATGAGTGTTGTGGTTAGAGATCTATAAACTAAACTCACAAAACAGCATTTGACAGAAACGTTTTGGTCCAATCTCGGGCTGTTTTTACCATTCAAATGGAAGTATTTTTCAAAAATTTTTTACATGGATAAATTTCAGGTTTATACCTTTAAAATGACTACTCGCACGTTTTCATACGATTTTTCTACAATTTTTGACGAATTTTACAAAACTGCCTATCATATTTGAAATAATTTCGGACCAACCTGTGAAGATGAGTAATTTCACACTAGTTTGAGGCCATCAAAAATTAAGATAAGTTTTTTTTAACAAAGTAGACAAGATTTCCAAACTTCCAGAATTTACGGATCCAAATTTCAACTTACGATGAATTTTCTACAAATTCTTTAAAAACTAGGTCGGAAAAGCCAAAAACCAGAAAAATGTGCATTTTCACAAAAATCAAGCAAAAATGATATTTTTGACAAAAATGAGTTTATAAATGTTATTTTTACCACAAAGTAGTCATCAACACAAGTTTTTAACAAAATTGGAGATCAAAGTGTTATTCTTACAAAAATTGGGCCTAATTGTAAATGTTATGCTTATTGGGACAAGAACGTCATTTTTACAAAAAAGAGGACTTTTTATATCAACTTTGTAAATAATCAAGCTAAAATAAATAAAACAATAATAAACGGGTTAAAAATGATATTCATATCCTTATTGGGCCTGGAAATAATAGACACGTATAGTGAGCCTTAGTGGCCCACTTACATGTTTATTGGGCCTGAGAATGGATTTTATACGCGTTCTTCGTTTTATGCTATTTTAGTGAATACTTGAACTAAAATCAATGATAAACCAACAAATGGATTTAATTTGATCATTTTCTAGGTTATTGGGCCTTAGTGACCCATTTCTATGTGTGATAGGTCCTGTATACTATTTGCATGTTTATTGGGCCTTATTGACCCATTAACATGTGCGACGGACCTTGGATACTATTTGTGTGCTATTTGGGCCTGTAAATACTTTATATGTGAAATGGGCCTTAGTTGTCCTTTCATATATATTTCGGGCCCATGTTATATAATCTCATTCCATTTGGGCCTTGAAATGATTTACATGTTTAGCGACGCCTTCGTGGTTCACTTACATGGATCATTGGTCCTAGAATGAGTTTATACATTTTTCTTCGCGTAAATTCGATTAAGGATCTAGCAAGTTTTTATCGGTTGACACCTATTAAGTGTACGATCGTAGCCTGTAGTTATAACCAGAGTCTCCTGGAGGGAGAACGAGGATTTGTGTATAGATTTATACGGGGATGACACCCCACACCTGAGCTGTTCGCTACAGTTAGACTAGGCCAGTCTAGGGTGACAAAAACCTTATTCTATTTATCCGTCGGCATCCAACGACGCCAAGACAGGCGAAATTGTCATTATTTAGTATGGTTATGACGGCTCGCTTAGAGGAATTAACGTTATGAAGTTTACGGAAGACATCTTTTTTTTTTTGGCAACGTCGGGTTGTCTGGAAACATTCTCTTTACGTGCTCTTACATTCTCTACATTCTCTTTACCTTTTTAGTCAAATAAACAATAACATACATGCATTAATACAAGATCTAACACAAACACACTAAACAATTTTTCAGAAAATATCGGATTTTCTGGTGGTTTTCAAAGTTATACAAATCATTTTCACAAACATGCTTATGAACTCACCAACATTTTTATGTTGACCGTTTTCAAAATAACTTGTATTCTCAGGATACTGTTGAAGCAGGATGAACGAAACAAACTAATGGATATTGTGTGATATTTTGTTTCATCATACTCTTACTATTTTGGCATGTAATATTCAAATACATTACTTGATGTAAACAATGAATGTTGTAATATTACATGTGTGATGATGATGATGTTATGTTTTAATTATATTCACTGTAATGATATTTCAAGATAAAGTCACGCGCAAGCCCCCGGACGTTTCCACCGTCTGGTTCGGGGGTGTGACATTTTTTGTTTGAACAAATTAGACGAATGTTAGTTTTTTCTTTTGATTTAAATGTATATTTATGTAATATTTTATTTATATATTCAACCACCCAATGTTTTTGTTTATTTTATTGTAGTTTTTCTATTTTGATTATGCTTATTGGTAGGTGAAGTCTTTTTTAAGCATGGATATGTAAAGTATCAAGTGGTTAATGTAGTCCCTGCTCTCAAACTTCTATCCTATTCAAATGAAGGACAAGAGTTATAGTGATTGTTATAATATTTTGATGAAAAAAGGAAAAGTAAAAGGGGAATATAATAAGTTTTTTCATTTGTTGTCGCATGTGTAACTCTAATTCCAGCTAATAGGGCCATTTCACATATGCTAAATACCATTGTACTTTTTGAAATTCTAATTATATAAAAAGAATGGTATTTTTTTTGTTTGTTTACAATTATGCATGTGTTATGCGCTTAATTGTTCGCTTGCTGCTGGAACTGATATGTTTGGTTCTCCTTTATAAGTTCAATATAGCATTATACATTTTGATTATGTAAATATTATTTTATATTTATTTTGTCCCCCTGTAATGTGAATTGCAAACTATCTAAGTTTTGATTGTTTATTGGATTTATGAAAAACTTAATTAAAGGATTGAACATATTTATTCAATAATAACACGTTCTATTCTTGAAAATGGGATTGATGGTTTGTCATTCAAATTTGGGATATATACAGTAAGCCCTGATATTTTCATCTAATTGACACGAAAGTCCCAAACTAATTTTTTATGACACAAAAGCCCGAATTACCGGCATTTATTGACCTGATTGACATTTTTTGCCGGTAACTCATTTAATAGTTGGTAATCGAGATGATGTGGCTACTAACGCTTACTTGGAAGATGACGAGGACATCATTAAATGAAGAAGGGTTAATCGAGCTGGAAAAACCTCTCTTTCTACTGCGACAATTCTAGGGTTTTTACTGTGAAGGAGATACGAATTCGAGTCCAAGGGAGATACGAGTTGGAGCCTTGAAGATGGAAGGTGTGTTGGACTTTGACACGATCGACGTGGAACTAAATGAAGACCTTCTAAAGAAACAGAGTAGGATATGTAGAGATGAGTTCTTGAACTCACTGTCTCTTGACGATGAAGATGAAGACTTCATTATCCCATTATTCGAGAATGTTGAAGATGATGAAGCACCCGTGGAAGAAGAACCTTTGGATGACGAACAGGAGGAGGAAGAAAATGTAGATGAAGTTGTGGATGAAGAGGAAAATGACAGTGAAGCTCAGTTTAAATATTCCACACATGATCCAAATGTGACATGGAATAGAATGAAACCTCAAGAGGGAGAAAGGTATGAATCTCCACAGCAACTTAAACTCTGTTTAACAAATCATGCCATATCTAAAGGTTATCAGATTAGGTTTAATAAATGTGATAGTGTTAGACTACACTGTGTGTGTGCTAGTGATCATGAGAAATTCGGTTGCCCTTATTATGTTAAAGCCTCTTGGATGAGCACTGAAAAGTCATTCCAAATAAAGAAAATGTATCCACATCATACATGTGTCAAGAATTTTAACAATGGAAAACTTATGGGACCAACATGGTTAGCTAGAAAATTCCTTAAAGAACTTATTAGGACACCTAATTTGAAAGCTAAGGAAATCCAAGAAAAAGTTCAACACAAATTTCACACTAAGATTTCATGGGTAAGGAGTTATACGGCTAGATGTAGGGCAATGTCCATGATTGAGGGAAAATTAGGTGATCACTATGCAAGGGTGTGGGATTATGGTGGTGAATTGCTAAGATCCAATCCAGACAGCACCATTAAAATTTGTGTCGAAGACAACAATGATGGTACAACTATTTTCAAAAGGATGTACATATGTTTCAAATCAATCAAAGAAGGGTGGAAGATGGGTTGTAGAAGGGTAGTAGGGATCGATGGATCTTTTCTGAAAGGGCAGTGTAAGGGACAATTATTAACAGCCATAGGTAGGGACCCAAACAATCACGTTTTTCCCATAGCTTGGGCTGTAGTTGAAATTGAGAATAAGTTTAACTGGAAGTGGTTCCTTCAGTTGTTAGAGGTTGACCTTGGAATGGATGCAGGAAGGGGCATGTGTGTAATTTCAGACCAACATAAGGGTCTTCTTGAGGCAACAAAGGAGGTGTTACCATATGTTGAGCATAGACAGTGTGCACGACATATCTATGCCAACTTCAGAAAAGTATATAGTGGAATTCAGTTAAGGAACCTATTCTGGAAGGCTGCCAAATCAACTGTAGAGGGTGAATTCAAGAATCACATGGATGAGATAAGACAGATTAGCCCAGGTGCTTATGAACATCTAATGGCAAAGGGAGCCAAATACATGGTGCAGGGCTTTCTTTTCCACTGGATTGGCCTGTGAGGCTGTAGAAAATGGTATGGCAGAATGCTTCAATGCAGTTATACTTGATGCTAGGAAGAAGCCACTACTGACCATGCTTGAAGAGATAAGGCTATATATGATGGATAGGTTTTACAACCTCAGGGAGTTAGCTGAAAAATGGGAAGGAGATGTGTGTCCATCTGCAATTAAGAAAATGGAAGAATTTGGTGAGGACTTGAAGTAAGTTCTCCTTGTTTTGTATACATTTATGCTAAGTTATTAATAACTTTTATGCTAATTTAGTAACAACTTTTATTTGCAGGTTTTGGAGGGTACACCCTAGTGGACAAAATGAATTTGAAGTTAGAAATGGTCTTGAATCATATGGAGTCAACATAGAGAAAATGAGTTGTGCATGTAGACTTTGGGATGTATCAGGGATACCATGTGTCCATGCCCAAGCATCTATCATGTTAACTCATCAGGATCCAAAGACATTTATCAGCAAGTGGTTTGGTAAGGCGATGTACATTTCAAGTTATAGTTATAACATTCTACCTGTTAATGGCAACAATTTATGGACAGAAGCTCCTTATATTAAGCCCTTACCCCCCTTAGAGAGGAGGATGTCAGGCAGGCCTACTGTGAAAAGGAAAAGGCATGTATCAGAGAGGGATGACAAGTTCTCTCAAGTGTCCTCAAAGGGCAGAACTGTCCAATGTCAAAACTGTCAACAAAACGGGCACAACAAGAAAACCTGTAAAAATCCACATGTTGAACCAAATCCTAAACCCAATAAGAAAATAGGCAGGCCAAGATTGGACCCTAGTCTAACCCAATGGACAAGACGTGGTAGAGGGGGGACAAGGGGAAATAGAGGAGGTGGTAGGGTACCTAGAGGTGGGGGTGGCTTTCATAGCTGGTTTGAAAGAGGTGAAACCTCAAATACAGTACCACCCCAAAAAAAGGTCAATGAAGAATATAATTCTGAAGAGATGGTGGATGTAGATGTGATGAGTGATGGAGATGGGCTGGATATGGTAGATATGGACTACATTACACAAAAAATTACAGAGTTGAGGAAATCAGGTTACACTGATGTAGACATTATGAGATGCCTTGGAATTACAAAAGCTCATTTAGAAGAGTTTGGATATGTGGTAAGGTTTCATTTAGTGTTTATGTATATGATTAAGTGTTTTTTACTATTTTTTTTTTTGTGTTTTAGGCTGCCAATGTTGAAGGTGGACTAGAAGGAGATGGACAGGGTAATGAAGAAGAAGGAGGACATGGACAAGGAGATGGAGTGGAAGGAGGTGGAGATGGACAAGAAGGAGAAGGGGATGGAGAAAAAGAATATGGAGAAGGAGATGAAGGAGATGGACAAGAAGAAGATGAAGAAGGTGTTCCAGTGAATGATCCAGTACAACAAGGGCATTCTGGGAATAATATGAAACAAAGAACAAGGAGACCCTCAGAGAGGATCATTCTTCAGAAGTTGAAAAAGAAGGTGGTTGACCCTCTTGGTATAGGAATGTGTGAAGATAGGGCATTAGTTATAGATTAGTGATAGGGGTTATCATCTTTTGGTTCATATTTTGTAAAAGGTGGTACTATGTAAACTGATGCATACCATCTTTTGGTTCATATTTTGCATACCACTTTGTGGTTCATATTTTGTAAATGGTGGTACATATCCTCTTATATTGGTTCATATTTTGTAAACAGTTACTGGTAATTAAGCAAGGGCATTAACCAATGGTCACAATTGATCAATGTCATATTTTATTTCAAGTTTGGTTGTGCAGGTTAGCCTTGGTTATTGACAGTTTTATTATTTATATGTGGTTCATAGTTGTGGTACTTTGATTTTACCATAATTCAATACAACATAAGTAAAATGTTCATTACATTGCAAAAGAAACAACATCGTACATAGTGACTACATATCCCAATACATTATCTTAAAATACAAACCAAAACATAAACCCAAAATAAGCCAGAACATTGACCACCTGGGAACAACACCACCTGCACCTTGCACTTGAGCTGGAACAACTTCTACTACTGCTTCTTCCATTTGTTCTACAACATCTCCATTCCACCCATTGTGCAATTGTAAGAGCAAGTCCTTATACCACTGATTAGGGAGTGGAGGATCCACCCAATCAAAGAATTTGCAATCTTTACTCGAATCCTGGATAATCCAAGATTAAAGAAAGAAAAAAAAAACTAAAAGATGAAGAATTTCAACATTAACAACTAACCCTATAATCTGGGCATCCAATGAATCTTCTTCCAGGATTTCTTGTCTTCCATGAAGTCCGCCTTCCAACTAAGTCACCGCAATCGCAATGTGTCCTTTGAGGGGATTGAACCTTCGCATAACCTTGCTTCCAATAGATGAAGAAGACGACATTCTCGTCTTTTCCTTTGAAAAATACAAAGCTAGGGTTCATGGGGATTGACGGTATGGTGCTTAAGTAAGGTCGACAACTCCACATAAGCCTCTCATTTAATAAATCAGTGGTCCATGTAAGCATTTGGTGCCACTTCACCAAGTAAACCGGATGCACCGGCAGAAAAGGTCAATCGGGTTAATAAATGCCGATAATTCGGGTTTTTGTGTCAAAAAAAATTAGTTTGGGATTTTCGTGTCAATTGGATGAAAATATCGGGGCTTTACTGTATATATCCCTTCAAATTTAATTGATGTATGATTGTTTTCTATAAAACTTTAAAATTAAAAAAATATGATGCTGGAGAAATGAAGTATATAAAGTAAGGGAAATGAAGTATACTCTACATACATATCTTTAAAATTTACTGTTTACTTAAGTCAATGAATAGTATGAATAATGAATTAATTTTAGATAATTTTTTTAATATCTCTACGTATGAGTGTTTGTTTAAATAGATTGGTTTAATCTGAAAACAAAAAAAGTATTTTTCTTTTTCAATTAATGGAAAACGAACTTCTGTTTTACCTAAAACGACAATGCAAATTTATTTTTAATCCAAAATAAATTACTTTTCCTTTTAAACAAAAACACCTAACATTTTTTTTATTTTTATCCAAAACAACGCTATACTACTATTCGCAACAAAAATAATAAACATATTATCTTAAATAAGAAACAACCAACCGAAAGAAATCTTAACAATGTCCAAAAACTATTTGTCATAAATAACCATTAGTGTACTACTAAAAGGAAACTTAGAAATATCCAAATTTATTTCCTATTGGTGAATCATTTTTGTTTTAGGTTTTGATATTTTCGATTTTTTTTTGAAAAACAAACTTACCTAATGAAGGTTCTGGGCCAGCTTTCAAGCACCGAGTAATCATCCGCTTCAAACATAAGGCTATGCTTTATGCTCTGGAGTCACAACAGATGAACTTCCATGACCACATGAGTTGAATAGTGCAAAGATTTGAACATGAATCAATATGTTATCCATCATATCCTTCACATGTCTTACTAAGTCACCACAATCCAAATGGTTAATATTTTAGTTTTGGAATTTGAAGTTTTGGGTTTATGTTGTATAATGAGTTTTTATATATAATATCATTCTTTGTACATGTGTGCAATATAGTAGTTCACAAATTGTCATTATAATCCATGAACACCTTTTTCTCACTATGTTAACCAACAATTATTTCTACATAAATGATCTTTTTGCTAGAAAGCATTGCATGTTGCAAACCCATACAATAACTAACATAGATAATCTATCCACAAATCAAGCGCATCATCGAAATCGGAACACCCATTCTAATCAATTGACAACTATTTTACACACTCAACAATTTGAAAATTTAAACCCCTAAGTGAAGTATCCTCTAAGTTATATGATTATATCCAACAAAATTGATGTAGTAAATTATTTGTAATCGCCTCAAGAAACTAATTTCTAAAAAAATATTCGCACTCGTCGCTTTGCGTGGGTAAACGGCTAGTGTGTGTGTGTCTATATATATATATATATATATATATATATATGTATGTATAATAACGAACGTCTACTATACCTCTTCATGTTTGGTAAGGGAATTGATTGGGGAATTGGACAGACATCGTCCACTATACCTCTTCATGTTCGGTTATGCTATATAGAATGCAAGACAACATTATTCTCGTGAAGGTGCGCCACATCACCCAAAAAATCAAGTCACTTGCTTCTTACTAGTTATAGGAAAGGGTATTCAATGGTCAAGTTGCTGGAGAGAGAGAGAGAGAGAGAGAGAGAGAGAGAGAGAGAGAGAGAGAGAGAGAGAGAGAGATAACGTTTCACTCTCTCACTTCTGAAGGATCGTATCCATAGTCACGAGAGGTCACACTTATTAAGGTTGGGGGTGGTGTTTGGAGCCAACTTACACATGACTTGGCAAGCAAGTCACGTTACACATCGTTTTGTTATGCATTCCGTATAACCTAATGTTTCTATCCATGTAGCTGGCCGCCATCTCAAACCACTAGCATACCCTGAACCCCCAAGCCACTGTAGTCTTCCATGCTTATAGCTAGGGATAATCATATGTAGGCACCCGCCCCATTTTGTCGGAACCGGTCTAGGCAATTATTAAATTTTTGAAACCAACCCCGGAAACTAGGTAACCTAATTATGATTTTTTTTTTAGTTTCATTAATACAAAATAATTCTTAGTCATTGACACAAAAAATAATTTATTTTAAAAGACAACCAAAATTGTTAAATATAAGTCATAAACCAAAGTTCATATTTTGACTATCAACTTGTTAATGTTATTTAAAATCAAATATTTTCAAAAAATATTATCATCACGTATGTTCAAATTGTTTTAGAGTCATGTATTCACATTTACATCAGACCATTTGTTTTTTAAAAAAAACCTGCAAATTTGATTTATTAGCATGTCACCTCCAAGATGCAGTTAGATAGTCCCAACAAATGTCTTACTGTCTTAGTTATCAAAATTGTTACCACCAATTTGTTTAAGTATTAAGTATTTTTAAATTTTAATATTTCAGAACTTGTTCTGGATGTTACCTGACGGGTAACGGTTCCTAACAAATGGAAACCAGAATCAAAACTGGTCCTTGACGGTTCTAATTTTTAAGAACTAAAACCGAAACCAGTAACTTCAGTTTCAATTCAAGAACCAACAGTTTCGAATCGTTTCCGATTCTAAAAACAGATACCCACTCTTTGTGCTCACCCTTGATTATAGTTATAGCCTTATATATATTATAGAAAAGGTTAGGACTTACGATTCAATGATGCATGCCTATTTTGTGTTTATATGGACATCAAAACATCCAACTAAAGTTAACGGCTTATGGATGGGCCCAATACTTGTCTAAAGAGCTGCTGGTTCGACCACATACCCAATATGTCCAGATGGGCCAAAATCGACACACATAAATATTATGACACAACTATGGAAGAAAACCTAGCCAATTGCTCTTCGTGCAGGTCTAAATCGCCTCAACGCAGCTACAATGGCGACAGCGAGAACTGTGAAGGATGTTTCCCCGCATGAATTCGTTAAGGGTTACGCCGCTCATCTCAAACGATCTGGCAAGGTAAAATCGACAACACTACTGATTTTAGGGTTTGTTGATTTAGAGTAACGGAGTGGCTTTTTATTTCCCCCACAAATGCATCAATCTCGAATTTTGTATGCTTAAAAATGAACTGAACTTTTGTATTTGGTGAGCTTCGGCTCTAATTTTAGTGTTTTTTAACTGTAAATGAATTTTGATTCTGTGTTTGGTGAAACATTACCCCTAATTTCTCTACTCTAATCTTTTCATGTACAATTGATCATCTTGGTAATTTTAATTTTCATAGATGGAGCTTCCTGAATGGACTGATATCGTGAAGACTGCGACCTTCAAGGAACTTGCTCCTTATGATCCAGATTGGTATTACATCAGAGCTGGTAAGTTCTTTCTATTTCCATTTTCACACAATTATCAGAGTGAAGAAACAGTTAAACAAACCCATATTTTACAATTCCAATTTGCAGCTTCAATTGCTAGGAAAATATACTTGAGAGGTGGTCTTGGTGTTGGTGCACTACAGAGGATCTATGGCGGACGTAAGAGAAATGGAAGCGCTCCACCACATTTCTGCAAAAGCAGTGGTGGAATTGCTCGCCATATCCTTCAACAATTGGAAACCATGAAAATCATCGATATGGATCCCAAGGGGTGAGTTTCAATTTTCTTTTATCTTTTAATCAATGCATTTTCTTGTTTCAAGAATCCATTTGTTGCTCTTGAATCTTGATCATATAAAGACTTCATATATACATGTTGTTACTTGTTACTTACTTAAGGGACCGTTTTTTAGACTTGTTAAGGTTAATGTGTTAAGCACTTGATCTGAACATAATGATTTAATGGATTAAGCACTTGTTACTTAATAACCTTTTACCTATTTGCATTTCTTCCTATTTCCTCCCAACTTCAATACTTTGAAATTTGTTTTTTTGAAATGTAAGGGTAAAATGGTAAAATTGTTTGTTTATTTTTTTGGTTGTGTTACAGAGGAAGAAGGATCACATCTAATGGTCGACGAGACCTTGATCAAGTTGCAGGGCGGATTGTGGTTGTTGCACCTTGAAGAATTCAAATAATTTTTGATGTTATGTAGCTCTATTATGAATCTTAACTTTAAAAAAATTTAAATCAAATTTTGTTTGAAGAAATCTTGTTTTCAATTTTGAGTTGTTTGTGTTTTGGTGGTATTTCTGAGAATTTGTGGATTTGGAACATGAGTACATGTGATCAATCACTTAACTACTTAAGCTCTAATCTTGATACTTGAATTAATACACTTCAATGAGGAATGATTTTGTAGGATTATGTGAAGAGTATGGAATTGAATACTCATGATTTTTATATACATGGACCATGGTAGATGCCTTAATAGTCTTGTTCCACTCACTTAAAGTAAATGAAATGTTTATATATGTTTTTGTTTGGTGTTGCCATGTTAATTTTGTAGATGATCCAATAAGAAGAGATAAGATCAAAGTCATTGAAGATTATTTGTAATAATTGTTACTAGCATCTTGCAATTCATAGATGATATTGTATGTTGACTTTAAACAAGTTAATCTTTATAGGGTGCTTGTTCTCCTTTTCTTGCATCAATACGGGATTAATTGGGCACTTGAGATTCATCTTAATGTTCTTCACCCTATTAGAAACAAACAAAAACTTATCTAAGATATAAAAATAGTAGGGTACAAAAGAAAACCACAAAGTGATTGTTATTTTTACGGCAGTACTCTAAGTAAAATCTATAGATAGGCTTCTAAGGCCAACTCCAATGGTAAAATATAAAAATGGTGAGTTTTAAACGCTAAAATGGTGTAACTAATCCAACCACACACTAAAATGGTGTATTTTAGAGGTCAATTTGGTGTTTGAGTGTATCCCACACATTAAAATGGTGTATTTTAGAGGTTGGTTGGAGTGATAAAAAGAAAAACTAACACTAAAATGGTGTTTTTTAGCGTTCTATTGGAGTTGGTCTAAGGAATGTGATTATCAACTTGTGTGGTCATTTGAGTCTACTTATAGACATGATTGATAGAAGATTATGACAAACTCATATTCTATGTGTGATTTCTCAACAACATATATTAAGAAAGTAAACAAACAATTTAAAAAGCTCCCAAAAAAGCAAGTATAACATCTTGAGAGATATGAAGTTTTAATAAGCCGATAATCACACTTCCCCGATATAAATATATATTCTTTAGACAACAATTTATAATGATTCCAAAAAGAACTAGAATAACATATTGATGGATATGAAAGTGTTCAATAACATGATATACATACTCTCCTTATAATGAAGATATCCCGATAACCATAACACACATTCTTGAATGCGATCATCTACAATAATACCGTTTTAACAATCATCTGGAACGTTAATAAGTATTTTAGGCATTATGGGTGTTCAATATAAGATGATGAAGGTCTTGATAGTATCAATGTCTTATCATTTTTAATTTTTTTTTTATATAGTAGTTAGATGTGGATAGACCCGTATCCTCACTTTCCATTGTTTCTACAGATCATAACAATGTATATTTTCGATTATAGTATTATTAAACTACTGCCTGACTGATTTTATGTGATGTTATACAACAATTTGTTATATATCAATGTATAGTAATTTATGTAAGACATTTATTATTATATAAGACACTTGTGTATTGCTAAATAATGGACCGAAAATGTACATACCAAGGAACAAGAAAATTACATTAAGAAGATTATTGTTGATTGATAAATAACGAATGAACAATACACCTACTATAAAACATCAAATTTGTTGAAGATATCTTCGCTGCCTTGTTAGAAATTGGGGTATAGAAAGGTTTGGAATTCTGAGAATTGTGTTAAACACTTTCAAATTAAAGCATTTGGGTGGTACTCCGAATATTCTTTAATCGGATAAGACTCAGAAAGACAAGAACTTAGAATGTTTTGATGATAGTTTCGTATGTAGCAAATATGAGACCAAAACCGACTTTATGATATTTGTCTGAAAATTGTCATATGACATTTTCAAACCATCATATGACAGTTTCAAACCATCATAAAACTATAAAAAATTGACATAAAAACGGAAGTTTGGATAAGGGTCAAACAAAGGTCAATTCTCTGAAAATCCAGTTTTCCGATGCATTTTTTTTAATATAGTAACATACCCTATGTAAAAAATTTCTGCGCTGACCAGCCAGGGGCTCTTCCCCTAGGACCCCACCAGGGGCTGCCACCCCTTTGACCCCGCTCCCAGGGGCGCTGCCCCTGAACCCCCGTTCGTTTAGGGGCTTCGCCCATAAATGACAATATACTTTGAAACTTGATCAAACTTAAACAAGTGTGTACTCCACACATTCCTTACTTGTTTAATATTTATTAAGATCACTTTTTGTCAACAAAGTAATCCCATTACATTTAAATAATATTGATGATAACAAATCACCAACATGCCTAATAGGTATTCTTTACAATATTGTGGTTTTTCCTTATTTCACTGGAGGTATTCTTTTCCCTTTTATGCTAGTAACCGGTGACTCTTATGACCATTTTTTGCAATGGATTAAAACCCTAATGATGCTTAATGTGTATTCTTTGCACCATTAAGGCTTTTCTTATCCGAACTTCTCTTTCTTTATGGTCGTAGATCATTATGAGTTGCTTGTTTGTATTTTTCTATGTTGATGTTCATATTAAACGCAGAGTAATGGGGAAAAGGGTGACCAAGCACTAACAAGCCAATCAATACTCACAAAGAAACAAGTTTCTCGAGAACAAGTATTGAACCTTGTTTTGTGGGGTTGATGACTGTTTTATAAATATAGCCCGCGAAGAACAAATTTTAATCGCAAAAGTTTAGCGGAATTTGCTTTATTTTAGAATCAACATACATGCGACTTTACTATTGCTTTTCTTAATCAAATTCTCATGTAGATTATGGCAATATGGGTTTGAGTCTAATTCTTAAAAATTCTTGTGTTTTAGTTTGATGGTTATTTATTTTTAAATTATGGTCATTTATAATTTTAAAAACACTAGTAGTTACGACCTAGACTTTCAAGATGTTTTCACTTTTTAACACCCTCAAAATATGTTTCGAATGCCATTGAAATGTGTGTAATCTTCTAATTGTTGAAGAATGTTGCGTGCAACTGAAAGAATTGCAAATCGATGATTTTCACTTTTGTACAATGTTATTACATGTGGATCACGTCTAATGGCCGATGAGACCTTGACCAAGTTGTTGGGCGGATTGTGGTTGTTGCACTTGCACCTTGAAGAATTTAAATCATTTTTGATGTTATGTAATTTTTTTTAATCATTTTGGCAAAAAAAAAAAAAACCAAATTTGGTTGAAGAGTTTTGTTAGTTTGTTTGTGTTTTGTGGATTTTACTTGGTTTTAAAAAATCTTAAAGCTACAAAGCATCCAACATGTCAAAAGAAAGATAGGGAGGAGTTTTTTTTTTTTTAATTTTTTTTTTAATTTTTTTCCTCCTTAGTTGGGTATGAAGAGGGCATTAATGGTTCAAAAAATGAAATTGTCCAAACTGAAGTAACAAAAGTGTAAAAGTGTCCGATAATAGTGAAACCATAAAAGATACATTTAGAAGAAAGCAAACTCTTGCAATAATCTACTTATGCATTGGTATTAGCCATCAATAGCGGATCGCTTGTGAGCAAGTTTCTGTAAAATATAAAAGATATCAAGAAACATAAAAAAAAAAAGATTTTAATAAAAAACGAATAACAAATGATGTAATAATAACATTGGCTTATCCAATATGCAACAACTTACGTGTTACTGTTATTGACAAGTACAAGGGAAACATGTTGCTGAGGGGAGAGGTAGAACAACTGCTTCACGATGTATACACATGTAGCAATGCTGTTAAAGAGTTAAAAATTGACATCAGTAAATAAGAACATGTATTCTTATTATAAGAGTAGATGAATCTAGATATGTGTTTATATGCATGGTTGTATACACATCATTGATGAATCTTCAATTCAAAAGTGATGGAAAATAAAAAGTATTAACATGTGAACATATCATTTGAAGAGAGTAAGTTATATGTTAAGTGACAAAAAAAAAGGTGAATAGTTGGTATAAATGCTTAATTACCTCCCACAACATACAAGTGAAAGTATCCAAAAGAAAGCACTTATCCAACTTGATTCCTTATATGCCACCCACACCTGAAAAGAAGCAAATCAAATATATTTGTTATTCATTAACGTTGAAAACTGCAACGTATTTATATTTCTAAAGTGACACTATTAAACTATGTCCAAGATGAAACTACTTATTGAAACAATATAGAGTTATTTAAAACAACAAAAAATCTGTTAAAAGTTTATCAACAACATTTTGTGTATCATGAATTGAGATGGAGACCTACCGATAAAGCCACAACATGGAAATAGAAGTCAATCACTACCGCTATCATACACCTACAAGCATTTACTATTATCAACTTTACATTCCATGTAAAAGAGAATTAAAAGCAGAATTTAATAACCTTCTAATTTTATATTACTTTTAAATAGGTCCGGCAATGAAGCAGATTTTGACCCAGATCCGATCCAAACCCTTACGAATTATATGAGTTTGGAGCATAATTTTTGATTTGTTTACCCGTTTAACAACACATACCCGCTAACCCTTTTATTAAAAGCGTCGGGTATGGATCATCATCGATCCTTTCCATTTATGACCTGCCCCGTATAAATTTTAGAATTATACGTTTATATTTTATCCTATCTAAAGTTTAATTTTAATTCTAATCGAAAGTCCAAATGGCAAAATCCAAATACTAAAATATTTTTACATAGGATTCAAATAGTCGACTTCTGGACTTTCAGTCTTTTACTAAGAATTGTGGTATCATTTCATTAATATTTCATCAAACAATCACTAATTTCATTTATAAATCAATAAAATCATTTATCAATCGGAAGAAAGTTTTCAATTGATATTCTCTATCACCGCATTCAATATTCAAAAATCAATAGGAAATTATTATAATAATGTTTTTAGTTCCAATTGAAAGTCCTCAAGTATTTAATGTATTTTTTAAATAAACATTTGTATTTGATTTTTCAAAAAAACAATGGGTTACTGGACGCATTTGGATATCTATTGATTCGATGGATAAGAGTATCAGTTTGATTATACAAAACCCTGCTGGTTACAGAGCGATTTTGGATCATATTTTAAAATGTGTTAAACGGGTTTGGATTAAGGTCGATTCGCTTTAAACCTGCCCCATTGCCAGACCCACTTTTAAAGAAATAAAAAGAGAATGAAATTTACGTTGAGACACGCATTGGAGATCCATGAACAACAAACGTATAAATAAAAGTTCCAAGCATCAAGAACCCTAATAAAGAAATGATTACTCTTGCAGTTACAATAGAAGGTCTCCTCATGTGTTCCAAGGCATCCCTAAGCCAAATATATAAGAGAAAATGACAAAAATAGTCATTTAGACTAATTACA